GTTTCTTCACCATTCAGCTGGCATCTCACCTTGGCCCTTTGTGTCTCAGCTCTTAGAATGACATGTTTTCTCCTGCTGCTCCTTCCTAACCATTCAGCCGAAACTCCCAGTCCTAGGGCTATAGTGACCTGCTGAGGATAAATTTCAAAAACCTTTTTCTCTGTTAGCATTCCAGGATTTCAGCTGAATTTGTGCTATTTTCTTATTCCCATTTGGGGTTTTATTATGTAGTTCTTGCGTTAAAATTTTCTTTTTCCTGATCCTTCCCCTTTGGCTAGTAATAGGTCAGGGCTCAATGCTAGAGTCCTTGCCCTCTCCCTCCAGATTTGCTCTTGTAGGAGCTCATCCTGCCTGTAACACTCATTAGAGTCCTTGCCCTCTCCCTCCAGATTCGCTCTTGTAGGAGCTCATCCTGCCTGTAACACTCATTCCCTCTTTCCCATTCACATTTCTTCTGCCCTTGGACTAGTCTTGATGATTTTTGTTTGGATTATTAAAATAGTTTTCTCTTTGGTCTCCTTATCTTCTCCTAATCTGTTCTTCGTGCCTCCACCAGAGTAAACATTTCAAGAACTTTCTTGATCATGCCACTTCCCTGCTTAAAATCCTTTGATGAATTCCATTTGCCCGAACATTCTAGCCTGAACAACTTACTTGACATTCAAGGCCCTCCTTAGTCGGATTCCAACCTACTTTTCCATTCTTCTCTCTCACCGTTTGCTTCAGCCATACCAGACTTTTTGCTAACGTCTATGATACTTTCCTCCCTCTTTGCATTGTTCCCTATGTTCTTTTTACCTAGAATACATTTCTTTCTTCTTATTGTAATTCTGTTAGTCCTTCAAGCCCCGATTTATTTTTTATTTTTTACTCAAACGTCTAGGTATTCAATTTAATGAAATATGCCCTTAGATTGTTAATCACTCTTTTTATTTTTTAAAAATGTTTTTGAATATATTCATATGGTGTAAAAATAAAAGAATTAAAAATTTATCAAACACTTTTGCTCTTTGAAAGACAGTGTTAAGCCAAGGAAAACACAAGCCACAGACTGGGAAAAATGTTTGTAAAACACACATCTGATAAAGGTTTTGTATTTAGAGTCTGTAAACAACCCTCATAACTCAATAATAAGAAAACAAACAACCCAATAAAAATGGGCAAAAGATTTGAATAGTAAATATTTTGCCAAAAAAGAGATACAGATGGCAAATAAGCACATTAAAACATGTTCAGCATCATTAGTCGTTAGAGGAAATGCAAATTAAAACCACAGTCAGATACCACTATACACCAATTAGAATGGTTAAACTAAGAAACCAGACAATACCAGATACTGCTGAGGGACAGAAATTAGATCACTGGTTGCCAGAGACTGGGATCGAGGGAGAAGGGGTTGACTACAAAGGGGAACTTGGTGGAAATAGTCTATATCTTGACTGTGGTAGTGGTGGTTACATGACTTTCTTTGTCAAAATTCATAGACTTATGTACAGGCGGTCCCTGGGTTATGAACAAGATCCATTCCTAACTGTGTCTTTAAGTTGAATTTGTAGGTAAGTCGAAATAGATTCATACAGTTGTTATTTAGCCTTATATATACTATAGTGCAAGAAAAGGCTGGAAGCCTTTTTAATGATTTAAAAGCAGCACATGCAGCAAGTGAAGGTGATTGTAATGAAGAATTTGTTGCGAGTAGGAGCTGGTTCAGTGTTTCAAAGGGAGGGCAAATTTACGTAACATTAAAGGGCAAGTATGAGTTGTCCATAAATCAAATCAGACGTTCATAACCCGGGGACTGCCTGTATACTTCAGTATAAATTTTACTTTATATAAATTATACCTCAATAAACCTGACTTTAAAAAAATGATAGTGAAACAATTTCCATCTCACCCTGGCCTATCGCACACACACTCATTTCCTTTACTACCTCTGCTTCCTCCCCTTACCCTCACATTCACCTTTAGTTAGCTGTGCTATCACCCATTGCTGTCAAGTTGATTCTGACTCATAACCACCCTATAGGACAGAGTAGAACTGCCCCGTAGAATTTCCAACGCTGTAATCTTTATGGAAGCTGACTGCCGCATCTTTCTCCCAAGGAGCAGCTGGTGGGTTTGAATTGCTCACCTTTCGATTAGCAGCCGAGTGCTTAACCACTGTACCACCAGGGTTCCTTTTACTATTATTAGTTTCTTAATGTATTCTTATAGAATTTCTTTATGCATATATAATAAATACAAATGAGTATCCTTAGGTTTTTTTTTTTCCTTTTTTATTCAAAAGGTAGCTTGATGTACATTCTGTACCTTGCTTTTTTTCACTTGGTGATCTTTCTATGTCAGTATATAAAGTTTCCTTATGCCTTGTTACACTACAAAGTGTATTTCATTATATGGTACTGTAATTTATTTAATCAGTCCCCTATTAACGAACATTTGGGTTGCCTCCAGTCTTTTGCTGTCACAAACACTAATATAGTAAATGACTTTGTACATCAATTATCTTGTACATATGCAAGTATGTCTGTCATATAAATTTCCAGAAGTGACATTGCTGGATCAAAGAGAATATATGCATTTGTAATTTTGACAAAGATTCCCAAATTGCTACCCTTTGGGAAAGTTTCAAGAGACCACGTATTTCAAGGCCCAGTAAAATACTGCCTTATTCTTAAGACTTTTCCTTTTTCCCTCCCACCAAATAGAATTAATCCTTACTACTCCTGGGCTTTCATGGCTCATTGTAATTTGCTAATGGTGTTCATTTAGCCTGCCTTGAATTCGAATTACTTGTGTATATGGCTGTTTTCTCCAGTTGGGTTGTATTTTTATTGCATTATATAAGGTGACTGAATTTTCTTGATCTGGTAGTATTTCTTTGATTGTCGCATCAAGATTTCTCTAAACCACTGATCTCTCTTTACCTCTGTCTCAACCTTTCCATGGCAGAAGTGAGGTCAGAGCCAGGCCAAGGATGCTCTTAAATGGAAAAAGTCTCCTGGGCTTGTTTTGGCCAGAATCCATCAGGGAGAAGTCTAAATGCCCAATTAACTGTGGACTAGGCTGCAGAATATCATGATAGGTCTGGAAATTTTCTTCCTGACAGTTATTGGAGTGCATATAACTGGGCAAAATCACATGCGACAAAACCACTTTTGTGTTAGCCAAAGGCTGTTGTCAGGTATAAAAGTATAACCTCTGAAATGCTATTTCCGGAAAAGAGTTGATAGTAGGCTTTTGTGGATCGTATTAGAGATTTTACTTCTAGAAAGAAAAATTTCCAAACTCAGACTTCTGTCAGCCATAATGAGAATATTAGATATTCCTGTGTTAGTCATGATGTCTTAGGAAAATATTGAGATCTACTGCGTATTATTCTCAGTGCTCAGCAGCTAGGAAAATAAAGAGAATTTAAAAAAATTGTGGAAACTTCTGATGGCTGACACCTGTTGTTAAATAAAAAGAGAATATTTAAAAATAGTTACAATGAAAACAAAAAAGAGTGTTTAAAGGGCAAGACACAATTCTGTGAAAGAATAAATAGACAGCGTGAATAGATTAAACATGGCTTACAAAAATGAACAAATGGAGGTAGAATGCAAAGAGCTCTTACCTTATATAATAGCATATGACCAAAGTGACTCTGGTAAATGAGAATTTAAAAATAACATTTATTATAGTCTTTTTCTTACTACAAAAGTAGTACCTTTGAATTGAGGAAAATTTGATATTACTGCAAAGAACAAAAAAGTCTACTAATGAAAATGATTGCCTGTCATCATTTTTAAGTTTATCGGTTTTCATATAGAGCTATAGTGACATCTCTGAGTCTTCAGGATACTAGCTTGATTCTTGTGAAGCAGTGGAATGGAAACAGTGTATGATAGCAAGTCAAAAGACCTTGGTTGATGCCACAGTTCAACCACTTACTAATTTTGTGTCGTCAAACATGTTACTTAACCTCTCAGAGCCTGTTTCTATGTCTATAAAATTAGCAAGACAAGCAAAGACCATTCCCTCACAGAGTTTATATGCCAAAGGAAGAAGACAGGCAATAAACAAATAAATAAAAATATAAATATAATTAATTTTAGGTAGTGAAAGTTGTTACGGAAAAAAAAACTAAGTAGAGTAAAAGAATATAGTGCACTTGCCAGGTAGGGGGCTATTTTAGATTAGGATGATCAAGGAATATTTCTCTGAGGGGGTGACATTTGAGCAGTGGCCTTAATATGGAGTAGAAGACCTGTCCTTTGGATGTATGCAAGGAGATGCATTCTAACTGGAAGAAATAGCCTGTGCAAAGTATTAAGCTTGAAACAAAACTGGCTATAGGAGAAACCACAGTAAATCCATTGTGGAAGGAAGCAGGTGCCAGATCATGGAAGATCTTGTAGGCCGAATAAAGAGTTTAGACTTCTTCTAAGTTGAGCTCTCTGAGGACTCGCATTGGATTTATTCCTAGTATTTAGCACATTAAAAAGTACCCAGTAACGTGAATTTATGAATATATGAATTCCACATTCAGGGAGGGTACAAGTTGCCACTGTCTTTAAATTGAGTTTGAATGAGATAGCCAAGACATGAAGAAGTTGGCATCTTAGGTTACTTGGTGATTCCTCATGGTCCTAATATACTTACTTGTAACCGGAGCCTGAATATTAATGTATGTGCTATAATGTTTGGCATGATTCTGGGTATATAAAAGCATTTTAATGTTTTCTAATATACAGAACTATGTATCGATGTCATAAGTGTCACTTTATTTTAAAATGTAGGTAGAAACAAAATTAACTTAAACGTTACCAGTGGTTTTGTCAAGGTATGAGAGTTAGAGATATTCTCCCTATAATTTCACAATAAAAAAGTTAGAAATTCAAATAAATTACGTTTTATTGTTACAGTTATGAACATGTTTCTGTCATCTGTTTTATTCGGCTCAAGTGCACTGAATCTACTATTTGAAGCTCATTATTTTTTGTTTGATTTTGTTGTAGCCTCGTGCCGTGGCAGGCTTTCGAGGGACGGTTCGTTATGCATCGGTCAATGCTCATCGGAACAGGGTAGGTATCTGAACTAGAGGTTTATCTGTATAAGCTTGCTGGTGGCTTGAATCAGACTGCCTTGTTTACATTAGAGTACACAGGTGTGCAAAGTACTTTGGAGCAGAGGGATCCCCTTTATAGCTATAACGTTAATTGGAATGGTTGTCCTAATTCACATATTTTTGTGGTAGCAGTGGAGGTAAAGGAGTTAACAACTGTGAAAAGGTATATAGTAGATAAATAATATGTGCAGCTGCATAGAAAATAAAATTGGGTCTTTTCTTGATCCTTTGTCACCAACTTTCTGTTCTATGCAGCCAAAATTGCTTTAATGATAATATTTTTTGTGTGAAAATATACACAACAAAACATATACCTGTTCAACAATTCTTATATGTACAGTTCACTGACAGCGGTTACTTCCTTCACATTGTGTCACAGTTCTCACTGTTTCTGCCCCTGTTGTTTCTGCACCATATACTCTCTGCCCCTTAAAATTCTCATCTGTGCTTTAGAGTCACTGTTGTATGGGTAGTTGTTATAGCATAAGTTGTATAGTTAATTCATATAGGGAATTCTTCAATAGGTCACAAGGCCCAAGACAGACATTTATTGAGCTAAATTGTTGTTTAGTTTAAAGATAACTTCAGGGGATAGTTTTGGATCAAGGTTCCAAAGTTGTTTCCAAGCAATGTATTTGGGGGTCCTGCCTGTCTCAGTGTGTCTGGTAAGTCTGATTTCCAATAAGAATTTGAAGTTCTGTTCCTAAATTTTCCTACTTTTGATCAAGATCCATAAGTAGGGTCCCTGATCAAAACCTGTTCAGTAATGGTATCCAGGCACCATCCATTTCTTCTGGTCTCATGGCAAGTGAAATAGTAGTTTATGGAGGCAATTAGACCTGAGACCGTTAGTTTCTCCAGTTCCTAGATCTCCTTCTTCCTCTGTGGTTCCAAGCAATTAGAGACTAATTGTTGTATCTTGGATGGCTGCTCGCAAGCTTTTAGGACCCCAGGCACTACCCATTCTAAGAAGCTCTTAAAATAATATTAGGCCATAAAGAATATCACCCATGAATACTGTGCCCCTTTTAGAAATCATCTGTATGAGACCAAATGTCAACAATTATTCTAAAGCAAAGATGAAAAGTAAGGGGGCAGGGAAACTAGATTACTGAAATTGGAATAACCAGATGGAAATGAGAACACTGACACATTGTGAAAAATATAACCAATATCACTGAATAATTTGTGTAGAAATTGTTAAATGGGAACCTAACTTGCTGTGAAAACACAAGAAAATATGACTAAAACAAAAACAACGATAATGTTAGGTCAATTGACTGGACAGCCCCACAAGACCACCACCCCAAACCCATGAACCAAGAAAACTAATCCCATGAGGGGTTTTTGTAGCTAAATATTGGCAATGGCTATAGCCCTTTTTTTTTTTTTTGGCTGTTATTTTTGTTATAAAATTAAATGTAGCATTTTATCTGTTGTTTTGCCTCTCTTTTTAAAAATTTTCTAGCGTACAACTTTGTTGCAATAGTCTAGTTATGTAATTATTACGTTTAGTCAATGCCAATTTTCCCATCACTGTAGACATTCAGTATTTCTCGTAGAATGATTCTCCCTCTTTCTCCCCACTCCAACCCCTGGTAACCACTGGTAACTATTGGTTTTTATATGTTTAGCTATTCTTGTTAATGATAATTTGGCCAGTGCTAAATATATTAGGAAGATTATGCTGTGGTTTTACAAGCTATGCTCCAGTTAATGTGGTTTATTATGATGTGATTATAAATTGAACATAGGAAAGGTGTTTTTTATCAGTGTGTAGCACTTCACCAAGCATTTTAGCTCATTTGGTTTGATTTATTGTTGCATTATTCTGTGGCCTCTAGTAAGTTATTCTGTTTTGAAAAGAAAGCACTCTTTTTTTCCAAATAGATTCTTATACAGAATTTTAGACACTAGGCTTTCAAATTAATTGTTACAGAATTATGTCAACATTGGCATCTTTGAAATAGGACATTCTTTTTTAAAAAATTTTATTGCGGTAAAATGTATATAGTATGGCTAAACCTTGAAAACATCATATTGAGTGAAATAAGTCAGTCACAAAAGGACAAATATTATATGATTTCACTTACACAAGATATCTAGAATAGACAAATGCATAGAGAACAAAGATTATTAGTGGTTACCAGAGGCAGATGGGAGAGGGAATGGGGGACTTCTAACTTAAGGGGCGCTGAGTTTCTGATAAAAGTGATAGAAACATTTGGAAACAGTGATGATGATTGCACAACAGGATGAACATAATTAATGTCACTGAATTGTACATGTGAAGATTGTTGAAATGGCCGATGTTTTGTTATGTATATATTTACCACAATAAAAAATGTATATACAAAACATTGGCCATTTTAACCATTTTTAAGTATCTAATTCAGTGACATTAATTACATTCACCATGTTGTACAACCATCACCACTGTTTCCAAATGTTTTTCATCACCCTAAACAGAAACTCAGTACCCTTTTTGTGTGTGTGTGTGCTTTAGGCGAAAGTTTACAGCTCAACTTAATTTCTTATACAAAAATTTATACACATATTGTTATGTGACATTAGTTGCAATCCCTATAATGTGACAGCACACTCCCTCTTTCCACCTCAAGTTTCTTGGGTACATTCAACCAGTTCCTGTCCCTTCCTGCCTTCTCATCCTGCCTCCAGACAGGAGCCACCCATTTGGTCTCATTTAACTGATTGAACTAAGAAGCACACTCTTCACAAGTATTTTTATGTTTTATAGTCCAGTCTAATCTTTGCCTGAAGAGTGGGCTTCGGTGATGGTTTTAGTTCTGGGTTAACAGAGCATCTGGAGGCCATGGCTTCAGGGGTTCCTCCAGTCTCAGTCAGACCTGATCTTTTTACTAGAATTTGAGTTCTGCTCCACACTTTTCTCCAGCTCCGTCAGGGACTCTCTGTTGTGTTCCACGTCAGGGCGGTCATTGATGGTAGACGGGCACCATCTAGTTCTTCTGGTTTCAGGTGATGGAGTCTCTGGTTTATGCGGCCTTTTTGTCTCTTGGGCTAATATTTTCCTTGTGTCTTTGCTGTTCTTCATTCTTCTTTGCTCCAAGGGGGTTGGGACCAACTGATGCATCTTAGATGGCAACTTGCAAGCTTTAAGTCCCCAGACGCCACTCACCAAAGTGGGATGCAGAACATTTTCCTAATAAACTTTGTTATGCCAGTTGACCTAGGTGTCCCCCAAAACCATGGTCCCCAGGCCCCAGCCCAGCTACTCTGTCCCTCAAAGTATTTGGTTGTATTCAGGAAACTTCTTAGCTTTCGCCTTAGTCCAGTTGTGCTAACTTTCCCTGTATTGTGTGTTGTCCTTCCCTTCACCTAAGATGATTCTTGTCTACTATCTAGTTAGTGAATTCTCCTTTCCCTCCCTCCCCACCCTTGTAACCATCAAAGAATGTTTTCTTCTGTGTTTAAACCTTTTCTTGAGTTCTTATAATAGTGGTCTCATACAGTATTTGTCCTTTTGCAACTGACTAATTTCACTCAGCGTGCTTACTTCCAGATTCATCCATGTTGTGAGGTGTTTTGCGGATTCATCATTGAGAACTCAATACCTCTTAAGTAAAACTCCCCATTTTCTCCTCCACCCACCTCTGGTAACCACTGATAAACTTTCTCTCTGTACATTTGCCTATTCTAGGTATCTCATATAAGTAGGATTATACAATATTTGTCCTTTTGTGTCTGACTTATTTCACTCAGCACCGTACCATAATGTTTTCAGGGTTCATCCATATTGTACCATGTATCAAAACTTCATTTCTCATTGTGGCTGAATAATGTTCTATTGTATGTACGTACCACATTTTGTTTATCCATTCATCTCTTGATGGACACTTGGGTTGTTTCTACCCTTTGGCTGTTGGGAATAATGCTGCTATGAACACTGGTGTACAAGTATCTTTTTGAGCTCCTGCTTTCAAGTCTTTTGGGTATATGCTTAGTAGTGGAATTGCGAGGTCATGTGGTAATTCTATGTTTAACTTTTTAGGAGCCACCAAACTGTTTTCCACAGTGGCTGTACCATTTTACATCCCACCAGCAGTGGATGAGGGCTCCAGTTTCTCCATATCTTTGCCAACAGTTGTTACTTTCCTTTTCTGATAATAGCCATATTAGTGAGTGTGAAGTATATCTCATTGTGAAGGATACTCATTTTCAGATAAGCATAAAAATTTTCAGGGATGGTAATAGCTATATAAGTATTTCCAAAATAGCTACTAGAAAAAGATTGTATACTTTTTTTTCTATTTTTAGTTTAAAGGGTAGAGATTTCTTCTAAAAGCCTTTCCAACTTACTGTGCACTAACAGTCTGTTAACCTGCTTATTATTTATGTTACTTACCTAACCTGGGTAGATGAATTTATTTGATAGTGTATGCCAGTGGTTCTTAATCTTCTTTTCTGTTCCCACCATACCTGAAGAGTAGGATTCATTACACAGGAACAATTTCACAATAATGATTGTCACTTTATGTGGTGACATAGGCGTGCAACTAGTGGCTTCTCCAGAGGTGCTTCTCTAATTTAAAAAGGTTTCCCAGATAATTCTAATATGCTTCTCTCTTCCATATTCCTCAACCCTGATTTGATTATCTCTAAAAATAATACACTCCATTTCTTTCTTTCTTTCTTTCTTTTTTTTTTGATACTATTAAAATTTAAGCACGAATAATTCCCCAACAATACAAGGACTTTTCAAAACACTTAGACTCTATTTACTCTGTCTCCTTGCTGTCCTAGATTTTAATCCTATGTTAATGTTTGTTTTATGTCAGTACTTTGAAGAAATTATTCTACATTCTTCCCATTCTATAGTTGTTAGGAAGATTTTTGTCCATTTAATAGTTATTGCTTTGTATTTCATTTGCCCTTTTTCTTTGGCTGCTTTTAAAGTCTTTTCTTTGGTGTCCTGCAGATACACTCATATGTGCCTAGGTGTGAGTTTCTTTATATTGATTCTGTTTGGGAATTTTTTTTTTTTTTTTTTTTTTGTGCTTCCTAAATCTGAACATTCATGCCTTCCATCAATTCTGGAAGATTCTCAGATGTTACGTCTTTAATTATTGCCACGCCCCCTTTCTGTCTATACTCTTTTTTCCAGAGCTCCAGATTTTGTGTTAGACCTTCTTATTCTGCCCTGTGTGTCTCCTAAATTCACTTCCAGATTTTCTGTGTCTCTATGCTACATTCTAGATTTCTTCAGATTTGTCTTCTAGTTCATTCATTCTTTTTCTGCTGTATTTGATCAGCTCCTTAACTTGTCCATTGAGTTTTTTAATTTCTCTAGTTGCACTTTTTATTTCTAGATATTCTTTTTTGGTTTCTTTTTCAAATCTAATTGATCTTTGTTTTGATGGAATATGGTTCATTTCTCGTGATTTTGATTTTTTTAATTTAAACATTTTAAACCTTCTTGTTTCATATTGTATATCCTATCTATCCTATAATTCCATTTTGAAAACTCTTGGATATCTAATTCTGCTCTTTGTAGTTTCTCCTGCGTTTAGCTTGTGATAGCCAGCTTCCTAATATATTTTATAATTTTGAATAATGAGCTTCTGTTTGGTGGGCATTATCTAAAGGACTCCTATGAGACCTAGATTTAAGGGTGCTTTTATGTCAAGAGGATTTTTTCATTTGACTTTGCCATTACTACATGACATGATCACCCAGAAAACATTTGAAGTTAATTTTCAGGCTTGATTTCCCAGATCACACAGATGGTATAAATTCTGAGGACGAATTTTTTTTTTAACCACTCACTTTGTCCCTTTTTGATTTTAGTTGAATTTTACAGAAAAACAAAAATTTGCAAGGTAACTTACATACCAAATATTGCACTAAGATTTAGCCGTTTGAGGGTCCTGGTTATGTGGTGGTGGTCGGGGGGAAGGGGAAGTGTCTCAGTTACAACTATACTGTGTAGGACAAACACCTTCATGCCTGTTCCCTTCCTGATTGCTAAAACCTATGACACATGCCTCCAGAACAGCCAGCAACAAAACTTTATCACCAGCTTGTTTCTCTTGTTTCTACCTGTCTTTTTATTTTGGCCCTTAGATTTCCCTTACATTTTAATGAAGTCATTTATTAATCAATAGGCTGTTGTATTATTTTCAGCATTTCTGGACTTTTGGATGTTCCTTGTATCAAAAAAATTTTCAAAATATCTAGTTTGCCATTTGATTGCTATATAGATATGTAGATCTATAGATATATTTACTAGATAATTTTATGGGAAATACATTTACATTTTTAGGCCTAATAAGATGAAACCAAATGTTTAGGCCTCAGACAATGTACTGTCCTCACACAGAGTGATACTATATTGTGAATGAGTTCTGTTTTGTTTATGAAGGAAATGGGAAGACATGATGACCTCTGGTCCTTGTTCTACATGTTGGTGGAGTTTGTGATTGGTCAGCTGCCTTGGAGAAAAATAAAGGACAAGGTAATTTTGGAAATTGAGATGTCAGTTTTGATGGGGAAAAGAAGAAAAATTTCTTCTGACTAAGCTTTTTTGTTGAGAATCTACTTAAGTGTAAGAATTAAAATTTACAAGCACTTTAACTATGTTCCAAAATGTATATTTTTCTCTCAATGAGCAGGTATTAGAGGTCTAATTAACGTTATGACTCTTCTGTGTACATGGAGAATTGTACTACTTTAAGTACATTCATTACCTCTGATTTGATTTCTAGTACTCCCTCTTAGCCTTTATCTTTACTAGATCTCTGTTTTTATTTGTTTGTTTTAGTTATAAATCAAGTAAGCTTTTAGTTTTGAACTGCCACATTATATTACTTGTTTTGAAAGTTGTAAAGTTATTGTATTGATACAGAAAAGTAGAACAGATTTAAGATCTGCTCTTTCTTTTGGGAAGCTGTCAGTTCACTGATGCAAAACTCTGAGTTACCCTTTTGGTTCTGCATTAGATAGAGTCTTTTCTCCCCCCTCTTAAAGCACTGTGCATTGAGCTATTAGTAAGAGCGCAGTTCTTGCTTTATCCTTAATTATCCACTATCTCATTACGCAGTACATACCCTTGAGACCATTACTGAGGGATTCTTAATGTATAGATGCCAAGAGAAATTGACTTTGGTTCCTTTTCTCTTTACTTCCCAGGAGCAGGTAGGCTCTATTAAGGAGAGATACGACCACAGGCTCATGTTGAAACATCTCCCTCCAGAATTCAGCATGTTTCTGGATCATATATCATCTTTGGATTATTTTACAAAACCAGACTACCAGGTAATCATATTGTGAGTGCTGTGGGTTAATTCATCTCCTATCTTAGCCTCTGCCTTGACTCATTATAGCTTTAAGGGTATTGTAAGTGAGTGTGAATGATCCCTAGAAAATACAATTTTAATGCATCCTGAGCAATGTGGTGTAATTAACTGATGATGACAGTTTCAGTGTGTGTGTCTTTTTCCTCCCTTCTGGATTTAAAATTTTAGATTTGCTCATCATGTAACAAATTTCACTGTTCCTGCTGTGATTCATCTGGTATAGAGAACTGCTGATAGTTCAGATATATGTAAATTCTATAGCTAATTTGTTGAGGAAGGGCAGTGTGCAACTAGATAATGTATCTGTCGAGGGCTTAAGGGCTGCATATCATATGTTCATATGCTATGGAACAACAATCAGTGAAGGTTATTGGCTCCGTTTTGTCTCTGTTCAGTGAATCATTTCCTTAGAGCATCAGTTAATGAGGCCTTGTAAGGGTCAGCTAGATTTACCACAAATTGCATCCCTAACCCCAACCAGCCATATTTCAGAAGACTCTGTTGCTCTTAGGGAGAATTTGGTCAGGGCTTAATGCAAACTGATCGCTATCACTGAAAACATAAATGGAGCCACACATCGATTAATAGTAAGTGTACCATTTTTATCTGCAAAGGACAACACGTAGATTCTGCTGCCTGTTAATGGAGTTTTGTCTGTACGGTTAGATTCTAAAGTGTTGTCAGGGTCACCCAGTCAAAAGACCAAGACTGTCTACAGCATGGTGAACTTATTTGCTTAGAGTAATTATTTCTCTATGAAATTGCAGCTTTTGTATAAAATAAAAACAGGTTATAAAGGACAGTGGCCACATACAACCTTGGATCCTTAAAGACCTAAGTGGATGAGCTTGTCTTCTTGCTTTCTGAACTATATAGACTGTCTAACAAGTGAGGAGTAAGGTTGCCTGACCCAAGCCATGGTGTTTTCCGTCACCTCATATGCATTTGAAAGCTGGACAATGAATAAGGAAGACTGAAGAAGAATTGATGCCTTTGAATTATGGTGTTGACAAAGAATATTGAATATACCACAGACTGCCAGAAGAATGAACAAATCTGTCTTGGGAAAAGTACAGCCAGAATGCTCCTTAGAAGCAAGGATGGCGAGACTTCATCTCACGTACTTCAAACGTATCATCAGGAGGGACCAGTTCCTGGAGAAGGACATCATGCTTGGTAAAGTTAGAGGGTCAGTGAAAAAGAGGAAGACCCTCAGTGTGGTGGATTGACACTGTGGCTACAACAATGGGCTCAAACACAGTAACAGTTGTGAGGATGGCACAGGACTGAGCCGTGTTTCGTTCTGTTGTACGTACATGGGTTGATATAAGTGGAAACCAACTCGATGGCACCTAACAACAGCAACAAATGGAGAAAATACGTTGTATACAGGCTGCTTTGGAGTGTGTTCTTATTTTACATTTTATATGTATTTTCTGAAGTAGAGTTCACATTACTTTCAGTAAACTAATGGAATTTTACTTCTACAATTAGACTCAAAGGAGCTGGAAATGTGCTAACTTGCCCATCTTGGGTGCTAATAATTAGTTTCATTGACAAAATTTGCATGGTATAAACATTTAGCATAGTAAAAAAATTCTGATCACATTTTCCTCTTAGCTATGCCTATAATCTAAAGAAGACTACCATGTTCACCAGCTAAAGTTTGAAATTTAGACTATAATAAATTTTATTTAAATTAACCTGTTATTGTTCTCAAGATTTTCATTTAGACATTCTCTTAGAGACTTTTGTATCTTTCTATCAACTAATAACAAAACAATGTATAGTAATTTTTCTATTTTTAGAAGAGAGTGAGCAGGCATAACATTTTCTTTGTTTTGCAGATTCCATAAATAATCTAGTTCTTTTCTGCTCTCTGACCTTTCATACACAGTGAGTAGAAGCAGAGGGCAGGTGGATGGGAGAAGGATAATTGGGGAAAAGATGTTGGTGTAAATGACCTTTTTCCTCCTGCGGTATCTTTCTAGCACCCTTTACATTTGTGCCGTCTGGCACACACACACAAATTTAAAGGTCGCAGATCAGTTCTCAAAGTCTAAAAAAGTAAACTCGGAGCAGAGAGACAATAAATCAATAACCAGTGCCACACCTTTAAAAAAAAAAAAAAATCAATTGGCCATGTTTCTGGGGTCTATTTCTGGACTCCTTATTCTATTCCACCTATATGATCTATGTTTGCCAATGCAGCTGTCTTAAAATCAGGTAGTGTGGTTCCTTCACGATTATCCTTCATTTTCAAAATTGTTTTGGCTATTCTGATTTCTTTGTGGAATTTTAATTATGAACTCAATTTCTTTAATAGTTGTAGAACTGTTAATGTTATCTATGTCATCTTGGATGAGTGTGTCAGGGGTCCCTAAGACCACCCCCATATTTGGAGATTTGATAGAAGAAATTATGGGACTCAGCATATAGTTGTATTCACAGCTAAGACTTATTACAGTAATGTAGTAAGGGTATCCGATCAGATGATAAGGGGAAAATACAGGCAGAATTTGGAGAAAACTATCTGCAGGTGTCCTTATACTCTTTCCCTCCCATGAGGAATCACAAAGAGCGTGCTCTTGCCTCAACAGTGAAAATGGAGCAACATGTGTACGATGTTTCTACCCAGGGAATCCAAGTAGAGGTCAGTGCCCAGGATTTTTACTGGGGGCTGGTTACATATGGAACCCTGGTGGTGCAATGGTTAAAGCACTCTGCTGCTAGTTGAAAGGTCCGTGGTTCAAACCCACCAGCTGCTCCATGGAAGAAACATGTGGCAATCTGCTTCTGTAACGATCCACAGCTTTGGAAACCCCATGGAGCAGTTCTTCTGTATCCTTTAGGGTCACTATAAGTCAGGATCGACTCGGTGGCAATGGTTTTTTTTTTTTTTTTTAGTTTGGGTCACATAAGCACCCACTCTTAGCACATACCAAAATTCTAGATGCCTACCAGACCACACTGTACAGTCTAAGCACAGTAAACCACCTTTACGTATCAGGGAATGGTGGGAGCGCCCCCTAAATCTGTGTTCCCAGAGCAGTGTTGACATCCCCAACTGTAACTGTAGATTTGTCTGTTTCTCCTTTCACTCTTTCAATTTTTGCCCCATGTGTTTTGAAGCTCTGTTTTTAGGTGCATACACATTTAGGATTATTATGTATTCTTGGTGAATTGACTCTTACATCAACATGTAAATGTCCTTCTTCAACCCTAGTTACTTTCTTTGCTCTGAAGTCTACTTTGTTTGCTATTAATAATGTCACTCCAGATTCATTTTGATTAGTGTTTCATGGTGTATATTTTTCTATTCTTTTACTTTTAACCTACTTAGGTAATTTTATTTGAAATGAGTATCTTGTAGATAGCATATAGTTGGGTCAAGGTTTTTTTTTCTTTCTATCCATTCTGTTTATTTCTGTTCAAGCCCCATCTTTTGAGGCTTGTCTTAAATGGTAGCTTTACAGAGAGACCTTCCCTGACCACTTGGTATGAGATGAGGTTGAAAAGAGAGGCAGAGACCAGACCACACAGGGCCTTTCAGGTGTTGGTAAGGATTTTGGATTTTATTCTCAGCGCGACAAGAAGTCTTTGAAATGTTACAAGCAGAAGCATGATGATCCACTTTGTGTTTTAAGAGGATACTTTTGCAGTTGTGTACATTCAAATGAGGCAAAAGGAAAACTGGAGACTAGTTGGAAAGTACTGAGATAGGCTGAGCTGTGCTGAATGTAGCAAAAATTTATTTCTTGATCACATAACTATCTAGTCAAGTTGGGTGGCTCTCCTAGGCAGCTCTCGAGTAGTAACTTGGGGATCTAGACCCTATCCATATGTGATGCGGTCATTTTCAATACGTAGTCTCTACATTCATTAGGAGGAGTCCCTGGATGGTGCAAATGGCTAATGCACTCAGCTGCTAACTGAAAGGTTGGAGGTTCAAGTCCACCCAGATGTGCCTCAGAAAAAAGCCTTGGCAATCTACTTCTGAAAAATCAGCCATTGAAAACTCTGTGGGGCACAGTGGTACTCTAACACTCAAGGGGTCACCGTAAGTGGAAGTTAATTCTATGGCAACTAGTACTGGTACGTGCACAGTCATCAGAACGGGGAAGCGCACGCATGGATGATAGCTTAGAGGTTTTGTTGCCAGTCCTGGTAGTGATACGCAACACACTGGCCCAAATCTAACTGCAAGGGGTCTGGGAAATAGTCTTTCCTTGTAGCCAGGGGGCAAGAGGTGATAATGGCCTTGACTTGGACATAAGTAGATATAAGTAGATAAATTGTTGTCTCTACATTTTTTTTTTTAATTCTGCGTAATAAAATATATATAACATAAAATTTGCCATTTTAACAATTTTTAAGTGTACGGTTCAGTGACAGTAATTACATTCACAGTGTTGTGCAACCCTCACCACTATCTATTTCTGAAATGTTTTCATCACCCCAAATAGAAACTCCGTACGCATTAAGCAGTAACTCCCCGTTCCCCCCACCTCCCAGCCCCGGTAACCGCTAATCTACTTTGGTCTTTATACATTTGTCTGTTCTAAATATTTCATATAAGTGTGATCAAGGCATGTGCTAACTGAGCCGAAGGACAGACAGAATCACAGACACATTAAAAATGTCTTCAGGGTTCATCCATGTAGTAGCATGTATCAGAACTTCATTTCTCTTTGTGGCTGAATAATGTTCTATTGTATGTATGTACCACATTTTCTTTATCCATTGATCTATTAATGGACACTTGGGTTGTTTCCGCCTTTTGACTATTATGAATAATGCTGCAATGAACATTGGTGTACAAGCCTTGCTTCTATCTCTTTGACCTTATCTCCTTTCATCCCCCATTGTACTTATGTGATCCAGCTATACTGTACCCCGTGATACAGTCAAATGCGCCTACAGCCATTCTCCCAGCATGCCCTGCCTCGAATGCCTTTG